GAAATGATCTTCAACAGAAGCCGGGATCCAATGACTGTTGGTACCACACTGCTGGGAAATTATCATCCATGGGTCGCTCCTTATTCCGTAGGACGACTGGAGCCATTGGACGACGCTATGCATGTACTTCGCGTTGTCCTATCAGGATGACCATAGATGCTTACTCCGTAATGGGAGTCGTTAGAATTCAAATTGATAGATAATTGGAAGAAAGAAAAGGCAAATATACGGAGTAGCTTAAGTGGACCAACAAGTAATTCCCGTTTAAGAAGCCTCGGGCTCCTCTTTTCCTCTTCACTTTAATTTTCTCCGTGGTGACACAAAGGTGAAGGAGAGTTACCGCTATCCAGGCTGTCGGATCCCTGACCCACCCACACCGACGGAATTACCCTCCACTTCTGTCCCACTTGAACTCCAAGTTTCTCAGAGCTTCTCCGCCGGGAGACCCCCCTTTATTATCACTATTTGAAATACTGTTTCAGTAGAAGACACTGTTAGTAACTTGGTCAAAAAATGAAACTTTTTCAAAAGATCGGCTATTATTCTTGTTCCGCCGCTTTCTAGTATTGTTATTGTTATTATTATTATTATTATTATTATTATTATTATTATTATTCTAATGTTTTAACGATCCACTTCTTCCAAGCCTCGGTAACATCCTCGTCGAAGAGTACTCTCCAAAATCTACGGAGTACACTCTTCCATTTTCATGTTCTCTCCAAGGTAAATTTAATGATACAGGTAGGTCATGATTCTATCTTTCATCGCAGATTATTATAAAACCTTGCAAAGGACGACGAATCAAATCTGTGATAGTGGCAGGTTATCTTCAGCCAGGGGTCTTGAGATAAATATTGTAGAATGCCGCTCCGCCGATCAAGCCCGTACCCGCTTGGGACAACTTCGAGAAGAGCAATCAAGCGAAATGAACATTGTATCCTTGGTTCCAGTCCCGGGCGTACCATGCATAAGGAATGTTGGTCCGACGCACGTCACCAGAGGGGCTTACCTATTCGGCATCCACTACACCGTATAGTATTACAAGAGAAGGAATGAGCAGATAAACAAACAGAGAACATCCTTTACCTCGTAGTAACCGAAATTTTACCAAGATCAATTACGCTGAAATAGATGCTGCGGCTGACAGAGTGTTGGGTGAATTGCTGCTGTGCTCAAGGTATGGTACCCTAAAATTTTAAGTACTTGGTAGACCTCCACTGCTCGCGAATGCGGTGGGAGGGCCTCGGTTGCGTGCTTCCACTGGTTCTTTTTAGAGGATTTCTGTCGCTAATTGGTAGATGCACATACTGCATACTCCGTAGTAGAAGATACCACACCTTAAGGATCTACTAGCGGCCTTCGGAATACGGCGATGGTGGATCTATTGCAGAGTACGGAGTATATACAAGAATTTTCCTGGTTGTAGCAATCATAGTCCAAGTAATTTTTCTATTGATATACTACAGAGCAAGTCTCATAGTACTCAAGTTGTATGCGGAGTTCACCACCTCCGATTCAACACTATATATGCACTAAGTGTAAACGCACAACAGAGTACGGTTAGGGGAACCACTATCAAACGTAGTCCCATACTACCGTGACTCTATATACACGTAGGGCACACTGTTATACTGGGTATAGTTTTGCAGCATTGTTGACGCGGCACCTAGTGTCAAGTATTGCACCGTGTACTCCATAGTCTTCCCCATATAAATTCCCAAATGCATCGGCGTTTACCGATTGTGACGCGTAAGGAATATAGAGTAAAATGTGACGATAACTATTTTTTCGCACGAAAGCTTTAACTTTCAATGACATGATGACCTCGGGAATTCCTCGGACACCCTGGGCTTATGAGAACGATGAGATAGACTACGCCACCCGCTCAGGAGTCCCTCCGTAGGCACAGAGAGTCAATTACAAGGTTATCGGAAGCATCTTACCTATTGCAAGGCTGATAAATCGTCCATCAATCAAGGCTGCAGGCTGCAGCACCCTTTCGTAGGGGCACTAGATTTTCAAGTGCAGAAGGCTGTCGTGGACGCCGCCCAGAGGCCATGAACTCTGACAAATCTAAGCAACTTACCCGGGCAATGGGGTGGAGACAAGTGCTGTCAACAGTCCATTGGTGATTCCTCTCGGGGAGTGGAATTTTCCAGCTCATCACTCTACTAGTCTATAGTGTGCTGCTACTAGTTCCCAGTAAAGCATAGTGATGTTGGCTACTGCACGGTGGGAATATCCATCGGCTGGTAGATGAGACAAGTCATCTCAACGGCTGTCTGATCCCCATCTCTCCCTTCTCATCTTGGTGTGTGCCGTCCCCTCTACGTGCCTTAACAATGTTCACAAGACAGTTTCATCTCATACGTATTCCCATCGTGAGCAGCCACCGGTGGGCTTTAATCTTCGGATTACAGCCACTAGGATATTGCCATTTTTAGAGACCAGTTTCAGGGTGGAAAATCGTAAGGAGAGAAAGAAACAGGTGAAAATTTTTTTTTCTTTCAATCAGACGAACAGCGACCCGACCTTAAATCAGGCGGCCGACAAGTGCTCCGTAACCTACCTGGAAATTAGGTGGAACTGCAAAAAACCTATCTCGAGCCTCCATATTATCTCTAGGCACATAAGTATGCATGAGCTAAGCCGAGCTATACTTGTATTTCATGCGTGTCGAGCGCCATTGCTTGGCTTCCAGCATATGCTTCATCGGGCTACCACAGGGTCAGGCACGTATGAGGGTGCGATTACCCTTGTAGAAGCGACGCACTATACTGCATTAAGTAGACAGCACTGTAATATACTTTGAAAGAATTTTCAAGCATCCGTTGTGAGTGTATGCGACGTACGTACGTATATACATATATACCATGACCTTGTCCTTGCGAGCTAGATTCAATGTATTGCTTCTGTAGGGAAGAGCCATATTTTCGTCTATAAATTAGCAAATAAACACCCATATCTGGAACATGTTTATGATGGGAAGCTCGATTCTCAGCGTCTACCTTGCCTTGTAAGGTTGAACCCGGTCACGAGCCCAAGGCTCTGATAGTTTACTCTTTACCTCGTAAGGAAAAGGCAATGAAGGAATCGCCAAGACCTACAAACCTGGATCTTCACGCACATCCAAAACACCCAAGTAGTCATTGGATTACTACTATGGATAGTGGAACTCATGCATACTCGTAACCCGAGATGGTCCTAGGGTTAGTGGTTAATACTGTTGTCTGGTGGGTTACTAGGTGAGGCTGTCAGCAACTCACAGGCCGGAATGCCCGGCCCAGCCTCCATATGCAGGGAATAGTACGTTGAAGATCCGTGGCCCTGTCAAGAAAAGTAAGAAACGTCCAGAAGGTAAGATAGTTCTCTCAGGGAGCATCTCTAAATTGATCGTCTTTCAGCCGACAGTATGTCATACGACTTGTTTTTTTCATAACCAGATCCCCGGGTCTGGAGGATTCAAGATAGTGACCTGGCAAAGCGAAGCTAAAGAAGCCGCTACAGGGATTGCTAGCGGCACCCAAGCTGAAAGGATTCTCAATTTCTCCCTCGCACACCCCCAATTGGCATGGTCTATATGCACATCCAACAGTTTCAGTGGGAGGGGAAATCGTTCCACCAAGCATTTACACGGAAGCTCCTCCGAGGTACCGCCTATCACTGTACAAGGGCCATGCATAAGTGCAATGGATCCTAAAGTTTTCTCAAATTTCGTCCTTGCCGGGACGCATATGCACTTGTTGATAGGACGCGGCTACATGAATGTCCACCTGTGATTCCTTCAAAAAGCAAAAATAATATGTTACATCGCAGATTACCCCCATTTTTAGTTAACGCCAACAGTAACGACTATCGGGGTTTGAAGCCACTTTGGTGTATCTTTCTTTGCTATGGCACAGCCTGGTGCTGTGGGAATACCTAATTGAGTCATTGCTCGTTTAACTCTGGCAATTACTCCGGCACGCCAATCATGCAGGTGAGGGTCTAGTTCGTCCTTTGACAGGCGGTTATATTAGCACTGGAGCCAACTTGGCGTCAGGATGAGGAGATGTTCTTCATTAGTGCCCCTCGAGATGGGGTATGAATAATGGTAGCAAGCTGCCTGCTAGTGAATTACACGTACGTACTCCGTAATAATTAAGAAACGCCAATTTGTCATAATAATTCCAGATAAGACTATAGCGCATATATAATATTGGGGCATCTAGAACCTAACAAGGGTGGAAGCAAGGATTAACCCGTGGACAGTTCTTTTTCTCTAATCTCCCCTCTCTTAACAAGGATTCTAACCTGTAGGCGAAAATCTAACTGGGAACACTAATCCCTGCATCTGTCACTAGAGGCAGGTCTATTACTATAACTTCATTGTGATCTGCTGTCTGCTGTTAGTATGTTTCTGTCTCACATGTGTTTTATCTACTGTCTTTTATCTTGTGCTTGAGACCGTAATGGATTCTGTCATTAGTATTACTAGACATGTGGTCAATTTTGAACCTTTTGTGCTGTACACTAACTACAAATATGTTACTTACTAATATCCACTCCCCCAGTAACTACGTAAATTTACTACCTAGGTATTTGGTTTTTACCCCTCAGATCAAACTTTCTAATTGACAAATACGGAAAACCATAATGGACGTGGGTGCGTCGTAGGTTGCAATGGCCAATCAAACGGATTGAGTATCAGGTAACGCGATAATATAAAGTTAAAAAGGATCGCTTCCGGACCATTCGGTCGGGTCGCGAGTCAATCTGGGTGTAACACAAGGTACCGAGTACCTGGTATCTATAGACGTGGCCTTCCTGTGTCAGATTCTTATACCGCGGCGAAAAGTTCTTCCCAAAACTGCATTGATCAATTCATTAGGTATGTGCCTAGAAAAGAATGGTTGGGCTGTACAGTCCCCGGTGCTTTCGAGCAAGACAGAAGCTCGAGTTTGAAAGTACAGTACATCATCAACCATTAGAACGATTAGAGTGCCAAAACTAGACATCAATCACATTACATATAATTCACGCCCGTGCCCTTCACATTATTCCCCAGTGTGGTTTCTCTACATACATTTGTTTCCTGAAGAAAGCATGCTAACACAATTTCGATGATACTCCACTATCACAGCTGCCTTCGCCCTTTTTTTTAAGTCGCTAAGATTTTCTCCACGGACAGCAAACTGCCCTCCATCGGTTGATCCTTATCCGTCCTATGCGTATACAAAGGTTAGAGATTCGGTTCTCAGAGATTTGTCACATCAAATACCAACTCACCTGGTGGTGATGCGGATATCTGTCTGAATTCTTGGTATGCCCTCCTGGTGGATCAAAGTATGGGCATATCCAATGACTCGGGCGACTTGGTCCCAGGGTCCCTCTAGATCATTCAATTAGAGGCTCGGATTCATCATATCTGTTTACACTAATATCTCTCGATTCCATCTTGAACGGACATTTCCATAAGAGAAAATCATCTCGTCGAAGCTCTGAGCAAGTCCACGATTGAATGAAAGCAACTCACCAACAGCCGTTCCAGTGGCAGTCATCTGATATTTCAGGCCAGACTTCTGTAGCAGCTCTTGAATTTCGGCGATCTGCTTGGAGAATGATGCGTTCTGCGAGCCGATCTAACATGCGAGCGTCAGCTGAATGTATCCCTTAGACAAGTCTTTTTGTCGTCTTCACGACCTTCCACCGCGACCGTTATTTGGGACACGGAAACTTACTGGGATCAGGGAGAAATCGGCGATGCAGGTAGGAGGAGTTATCAGATCAGCTGTCTCCATGTCTGTTGCTGCTGTTGTTCTGGTGGCTAATGCTACTCTGTATCAAAGGTGGGTGCAGGATGGTTGATCTTCCTAAGCGTTCAGGATATCGATATATCTCAAGCCACGTAAACCCGGCTTGGTATTCAAGCGGTTTATTATAACTTGCAGTCTGTAATATTATCAGAGTGACGTGCGTATTGATCATCAGCATCTCTCGCAAACAACGAATGAGATTGCTGGTTGCGATTATGTGTAGGTTTTCTCGACCAGCGCTTACAATTGGGTTCCACGCCATACGGGCGGCGCCCAAGCTGTATCGATGCTGAGCTGTATGCTCTGGGCTCACTCGTTCCATGGCTCATCTGCATGGCTAAATGCCACATTTGATTACTTTAAACTGGATCTATCTCATGACTGACATTTGTTCGTGTGTCTAGATTTCATTTCTCAAGCAGCCTTATCCTCATCTCATCGAGCTGTGTATCATTAGCCTCCTATTAGCTTTGGTATCCATCCTATCAAATGCTAAATTCTTCGCCTAACCACGATAATAAGTTTCATCAATGGTCCTTCCTCGCCGTTGCTGCGGCTCACTACCACGAACGTATATATCCTCAAACAAGATGTCAAGTTTCGTCTCGGGCTCAGCCATCTTTTCAGCCTCGGCCACTTCATCGTTGACTTTGCTTCGCACATTTTTATCGATTGTTTTGGCGTCCTCCTCCGAGAATACACCCCACTCAATCAACCTCTCTTTTAAGTTAGATATTGGGTCGTTCGCACGCTGCTCTTTCAATTCTTCCCTGCTTCGATATGCAATCCCGGGGTCTGACATTGAGTGTCCTGCATATCGGTATGTGAGGTACTCGTAGACCAGTGGTCCATTTCCTGCTTGGACGAAATTCTTGCCGTATCTAACCGCGGAAAGGACGGCAAGCACATCCATTCCGTTAATTCGTAACCCCGGGATATACTGGCCACGCTTGTAATACTCGGTCATTGCAGAGGCTCTTTCAACAGAGGTTCCCATGCCGTATTTATTGTCTAAAGTGTGTTAGCACATTGAGTGAGCGCGTATCGAAATAGTGAACTTACTCTCACAGCCAAATATCACAGGTAGATTCCACAGCTTAGCCATATTGAAAGCTTCGTGAACTTGGCCTTGATTGGCTGCCCCATCACCATAGAGATCGATCGTGACATTATTCGCATCATTGTATTGCTGAGCGAAGGCGATTCCAGCACCTACTGGCACGCTGGCTCCGACGATCCCATTCCCCCCAAAGAAGCTTTCGCAGAACATGTGCATAGAGCCACCTTTGCCATAGGAGATGCCCTCTCTTCGTCCAAGCAACTCGCCAATGATAGACTTCACAGTTCCTCCGCGCATTAATGTAAACCCGTGGGAACGGTATGCCGTTATAAGTTTGTCATGTTTAGTAAGTGCATGCTCGATTCCGACAGCGACTGCCTCCTGTCCGGTTGATAGATGGCAAAAGCCACGGATTTTCCTGTCTTTATATAAACCATCCGCGGCAAGCTCCATACGTCTGCAAAACAGTCAACCATATTGCTCGACAAGAAAGGAAAAGAGCAGAAAGACCAAGCAGACCTTATCAATGTCATATCATGGTATAATTGTTTCAGTTCCCTCTTGGTGGTTTCAACTGAATACGGAGGCGGGTCTAAATGATACGTATCGAAGCTATCCTCTGCTATCGGAACACTAAATAGCTTATCATCTTCCTTAAAGACGTCGAGTGTCATTAATTGCCTTCTAGCAAAGGGATTCCGATCAACGCCTTTGCCACTTACAGAAGGTAAGTCTTCCAAATTAGCGACATGTGCTAGGGAGCGCCGACAGGTACAAGGAAGGACTGGCCGCACCCAAGGGACCGCCCTAATTATTTTCAAGGATCTTGAAAGCATAGTTAAGGTTATAGCAATAGTGCCGGTGGCTGCTATGCGACCACAAAGAATCTAAAGGAAATACCGGGGAACTTTTGGCGTGCTTCAACTGCCAACTTTATATTTAATTCTGTAGAACTTATAGAAATTGTCACCCTGTAGTAGGTTGGGAGTTGCTTCTAGTGGACCATCAGATCAACAGTATGTGACGCAATAGTGAACTCACCAGGTCACATCTTCGACTGTAGTATTGCTTTGGCCTCTGGGTAAGGCTAAGATTGGTATCCATAGAGTTCCGGCACTATTATGCTGCCTGTTGTCAGAAAGAACATCTAACCGGTCTACAGGGACCTCCAATAGAAAGACCTATAGCCACTTGGCAAAGTTGGCCTACATCTTCTGACTGATGGATGGACTCAAATCAATATTACCCGATCTGGAAGTGACACCTCTTCGGAACGGATCAACGGTACATCCGTGATGACGCATTGTTGCGCTGAGCAATTCTGGAATTGGGGTTCCAAGTTCCAAAAGATATCAAATCTTATGCTTGTAAATAAATAGGCATAAACTAATACTGTATCTCATGCCTATCCATTCGCCGAGCCGAGGAATATCATTACTTGCGCTCTAATCAGCATAGCGATGAAGTCATCAAGACGCTTTTCGCAGTTCCCAATTTGCCACATCCACGCGTTGAGACGCGTACAACTATTTATCTAACCAGTCAAAACTTCGGCCCTATGGTTGCGAATAGGTCTTGCTGAAAGTATGCCTCGTACGACTCGTGCCCGTTCCAAGAAGAGCGGAGCCCCTGGCGGTCGCCAGTCAAGAAAGCAAGATGATGAGGTCCCAGAAGTATACCGGGAGATGCTGGCAGAAGCCGAAGCTCGAGATCCCGGCAGCCTAGAGAACGATCGGCCAATAAAAAAACGAAAGATACAGGGGCAGTCACTGGCGTCTTCTGCTCCTTCTCAGACTACAAAACAAAAAGATCAGTATCCATCAAAGAAGCAAGAAAATGTCAACCCGCCAGTACAAACGGTGTATGACTCTTCTTCCTTTGATGAATCGGAGATGGAGTGGGAAGAGGTAGACATTTTGCAAGCACCTGCTGCTTCTATCCAAACAGCCCATGCTTCTGGAGAAAACGAGACCATGCAGATCACCCTTGACCCCCATCAGGATCAGAAGCGGAAAGTAATTAGAAGGCGGAATCCAATTACAGCAGCTGAGAGGGAGATGAGATTACATGTCCACAAATCCCATCTGCTTTGTCTTTTATCTCATGTCCAGTTACGAAACCTTTGGTGCAACGATGAAGATATTCAGGTGCGCCTTTGCTTCGGCAGGATCCTATTCGCACCCTTAACTAATGTAAAATCCAGAGGTTTCTTAAACGGATGTTGACAAAACGTGTGACCTTGCTTCTGAATCCATCACAGGAACAGCCACAATATACAAGGTCGACTACGTTCATTGACGGACTTAATCAGGCCAGCGATGCCTTTTTAAAGAGGTTCAGAGTTACGAAGCCGGGTTTGAAACGAGCTCATTGGGCAGATGATCCTCTTTCCTTGAAACGAAGAGTGGTATTGTAGTCAATTTCTGTAGTATAAGGGTTGTGCTTATGTCGTCCTAGGAAGATATTATGCCAGACGCAGAGCTTTTCTTATCGAAGGAAGATTTTCTAAAACAGGCTAAGACACTTCAAGGCTCTCGTGATTTTGGTGCCCAGCTGTTCTGTGCCCTACTGCGCTCCGTAGCTGTGGAAGCTAGGCTCGTCTGTTCATTACAGCCATTGCCATTTACTGGAACAACCAAACAAATGATTCCTATCAAGCCGGGACGGCAGATTATCATGATCTCGTCTGATGATCATGATACCTCTACCGATGATTTGACGAAACGGGTGGCATCGCCAGCACCGTCAAGGACCAGACGACTTGGTCGGCCACAATTTAAATCCTCGACTCAACCGAAGAGCTTCTTTGCGAGTATGTATTACCACAAACCAGTATGTAGATCCCCGTATTGACACCTGAAGACTCACGCCCTAGTGTCCGAGAATCACCGTACCCGGTATTCTGGGTCGAGGCTTTCAACGAAGCGATGCAGAAGTGGGTTCCTGTTGACCCATTGGTGACGAAGTCGCTTGCAAAATCTTTCAAGTTTGAGCCGCCATCAAGTGATCCGTATAACTGTATGAGTTACGTTATTGCGTTTGAGGAAGACGCTTCGGCGAGAGATGTCACGCGCCGCTACTCAAAGGCATTTAATGCCAAAACACGCAAACTACGCGTAGAGTCTACCAAGAATGGGGAAAGATGGTGGGGCCGGGTCATGCGATTTTATGAGAAACCTTTCCTCGAGGACCGTGATGAAGTGGAAATTAGCGAGCTTACAGCCAAAATTGCTGCGGAGCCTATGCCTCGGAATATACAAGATTTCAAGGATCACCCGATCTATGCGCTCGAACGACACCTTCGCCGTCATGAAACCATTTTTCCGAAACGTGTCGTTGGACAGGTTAGCGTTAGCAGATCAGGGTCAAAAAACCAGGTCTTGGAACTTGTTTATCGCCGCTCCGATGTCCATGTTTTGCGAAGTGCGAACAGGTGGTTTCGGTTAGGACGGGACATAAAGATTGGTGAGCAGCCGTTGAAGCGTGTTCAATCTCATAGAAATCAAGCCATGGCTCTCGAAGAAGATGGGGGGGACTCTGAACAGTACACCGAAACAGCTTTATACGCTTATTATCAAACCGAACTATATAGACCGCCATCGGTCATTCAAGGGAAGGTTCCAAAAAACGCCTTCGGAAACCTGGATGTCTACGTGCCGAGCATGGTTCCCCCTGGGGGAGTCCATATCAAGCATTCTGATGCTAGGCATGCCGCTAAACTCTTGGGTATTGACTACGCAGATGCCGTAACAGGCTTTGATTTTAAAGGGCGCCATGGGACAGCCGTGATTCAGGGTGTTGTCATTGCTAATGAGTATGGGGAGGCATTAAAAGAAGTTCTAGGTTGCCTTGAAGACCAAAGGTTACAGGCTGAGCTCGAGCAAAAATCGGCCGAAGCGCTTCGGCTTTGGAAGCACTTCTTGCTTCGGCTTCGCATCGCAGAAAGAGTTCAAAGCTACGCAGTTGAGGGCGAAGAGGCTGATGACGAGGAGAGCATTGCATCAAGTAATAATGACCATGGCAATAATACAGAAGAGACCGGTGGTGGGTTTATCCCTGAACCAAGCAATGATACTGTTGGTTCACAGAACGTCGCTCAAGAACGCCACTTTGAAAGCCTCACTACGCCCAAAGATGATGATTGTCTCGGTGGAGGATTCATCCCTGAAGAGGATGAGGCCCGTCAGAAGATTGCTGAAGAGTCAGTCCTTGAAGTGGCAAATGGCCCCTCACACACAAGTCGAGAAGAGCCGTCTCACTACTCACTTGTTGTCGTGCCCGATGATACGAACACTGCGAAAAGTACAACACCTTACCAAGGCGCCACAATATCGCCCGAGGCATCAGTGCCCGACTCAACAGACAAAGAAGGCGCTAGGGATGAAGACCGAAAAATCTCCGAAGGGGCTTCGTCAAACACCCCTATCTTGGTTGAGTCGTCAACAGCAGCGAACACGCCCTCTGCGAATGTTGAGGTCATTTCTGCACCCTTTTCAGCAACGCAGTCACGTATTGAATCCCCCATGACTTCAGACAAAGGGTCAAACAGTAATGATGAGGGGTCCCTGTTGTCGCATGATCCAGAAGATGAAGATGCGATTCCAGAGTGGCTCATGTCTGATTAACGAGCTCGGGTTTCTCGCAATGTGTACAGACTAGTTTTAGATCAGATTAACATTAAGTAAACTCAACCACACTAGGATGATACGTGATACCCATTACGTTGTGCAGGTGGTTGTTAGCATTGTACAAATGCAAGATGAATTAAATTCGCCTTAAGATCCAGGCCACCAACACCCCCATCCGAGTTAAATTGTTTTTCGTGCACAGACCATTTGTTATGGGCTTAGCGACGCGTCAGTCGCGTTTCGCCAGTCGACATAATCAATAAGCAAAGCTAAGACAACGCCACCAGACCTTCTTCATTGTGTAACCAGCAATAAACCTTATGGCTTATTACAATTTACTACATTATCCTCACTATTTGTTTTGCGATGAGACGAGGTGATACAAGTGGGACGAACGCGCAGACCAGCCAGGAACAGTTTCAAACCCCGGATAAACCTCTTCCAGGTCCTTCAACGACATCTGACAGCCTGAGAGGATCATTGACTTCAAAGAAGAGGACCGGAACACCCGCATCTTCAGCTTCTACATTTAGGTCATGGAAGAGGACTTCATTTGCCGGTGCCCGAGATCAGCCGACACTCACGCAGATCGACTTCGTGACGCAGATATCGCAGCCTCAGTCAGATGATGACGATGATCTCGATTACATCGCTGAGGCACCTAAAAATGGTAACAGGGAGCATAAGGAAGTCGTGGAGATAGCTGATGACTCTGGGAATGATGCTGATTATCGACCATCTTCAAATTCGCGGGCCCCGCGAACCCGCGGCGTCAGATTCGACCAGGATACGAATAGTGTCGGGTCTAAACAGTCTAAGGTGGTTAGTCAAGGTGACGGCCCGTCGAAACGGGGCCGGAGGAAAAGTGGTGACGGTGTCAAGGGCAACAAGAAGGGCAAGGACAAGCAGCAGAAAGATAAGACATTGACCCAGATGGACTATGTAAGGCGGTACTTGAAGATCGAGCCCGATGAGGATGTTAAATTGGAGTACACATATACCACTCCGCAAAAGCATGAGCGAAAATCCCATAATGTGCATCCGCCGAATGCTGAAGATACGCCCCGCAGTCCGAAAGATACCTATGCCACCTCAAGTGAGACAAAGAGACGGAAGCTGAATGATGAGGTCCGATCAAATGGGGAGGCGGAATCAACCGAAGACTCCAAAATGGCTCAATCATTTGGAGGCCCAGTCACGCCGCGGAAGCCTAGGCGATCGGAGATACCCTCCTCTCAGTCGCCAGAGAGTCCCGGACTCGCAATCATCACATCATCGCAGTTCCGTAGTGCAACTCGCTCTCCCTTTAAACGAGAGTCCCCGACCCCAACCATTAAACGCATCAAAGAAGAATCTCCTGGCCACGGTCAAGTAGAGGATGCCCCGCAAAATCCGGAACGAACATTGTCCCATGATTCAACTCCACCATCTATGAAAACCTATCCTCCGCCGACAAACAAGCTTAACTCAAAAGAAAGCTTAGAGACCAATGCGAGCTCCACCCAGTCCTACTCTACGTTAGGGACAACAGTTTTAAAAGAGGGAGATCATATACATCATGGCCTTGATGAGCGCCACATGACTACGCAGAGGACTGTCGTTTATGAAACAGACGCTGAGACCGACAGTGGCGACTTTCAAGACAACGAATTCAATATACCTGACTCACCTTCCGAGAGAGTGACCGACAACCAATTCCATACTTACGAAGATGATAATGAGCTGCCAACCGAAGATTCTCAAGATCTTCCACCAATTCCTCCATCCGGGCTGGATGTTGAATCCGGTCCTCTGCAATCAGAAACCAATCTGCCATCTGACGCATCAATATACTACCGCAGGCCGCAGCAAGCTACACAGTTCCCACTCGAGCCAATACCCGCGCTTAATACTCAAAAAATGGCGGAGCTCTTTCCGGACTATCACCAAGAGTCGGCTACTGTCTCCGAGCCGCAGTCAACACCACACCGTCCCCTTTATACCCAAACGCAGACCCAATCTCAAGGCCAATACCAAGACAAACCTTCGACAGACATTGTTCCCGAATCATCACCTATTGTACGTTGTGAAAGTGGAGTGAATCCAAAAGACGCTATTGAACGAGGTCTTGTTACTCGAGAATCTGTCGTGCAAGTGGAGTCATCACAACCTGCAGATAGATTTCAAAGGAAAGCCGATACTGATAGAAGCTCTCAGCCACGAGGTATTCTATCAAGGAGTGATCTTCTGACATCGAGTGTAATGGAAAGTATACCATTGCCGGCATTTATATTGGGCAGTCAGGATAGTATCGGAGAGCCTTACTCAGATATCCAATAGTAATGCAACAAGACGGGATTGAACACAGACTATGATCAATACACAATAAATGAGTAATGAGCCCTAATGGATGAAAAAATAAATATAACTATAAATACGTTATCTGCTCTTCCACACGTATACGTATCTGCATGCATTAACACGTAGATCAGTTAAACTAACGGATAGCGGGGCGTCGGCCCGTCTATCACCCCGGGAACGGATCAATCACACTGACCCAAAAGTTGGTGGCTCTCCCCTCCGCAGCTCCGCAATCAAGCACTCAGCCGGACTCGAGGCTTTCAACTTCCGCCGCGCACATATATAAAACAAACAAAAACCATGGATATAGCATACGATCACATCCAAGGGGAGATCCTCTCCTCCAACGACACCTCCAAGAAGGAAGGCACCTCCCAAGACGAGAACAAAACACAGCAGCAGTCAAACGTCGACCTGAACGCCGAGCTGCAGGAAACCTTCCGCGCCTTCTCCGCGAGCCCATGGGGCATGCGCATTGGCGGCCTGTGGGACAACGTTCGCAAGCAGGGAGAGACTTACTACGAAGGTGCGAAGCAGGAGTACGCCGCGGCCAGCGAGGAAGCCGCCAAGGGCTTCTCGGACTTGAAGCAGAGTATCGTGGGGCGCACGCGGGGTCTATCTCTGAGCACAGCGTTTAATGCCGGTGCCACGGATAAGGCGGGCGAGGGGGAGACGGCTGCTACGCCGGAGGCGTCTCGGTCGGTGGATGCTCAGGGGGAGTCTAGCGCCGGAGAGGGCTTCCTCTCAAGGTTTAAGGCGGAAGCTGCTAGACGGCTGAAGGAGATTGAGAAGGCAGAGGAAGCTGCCGATGAAGCTATTATGCGGTTCGGGATGAATATTGGACAGAAGTTGCGCGATGCGGTTAGCATTGTTCCTCCGGAGTCGGATACCAGCAAGCTCCTCTTTGAGAGTAAGGATGCGGAGGGCAAGAGGGTTATTCATGCCACTCGGTTTGAGGCTCAGTTGCATGTTATTCATTCCAATATGGAGAGCTTCACGAAGGACCCGGTGAGCGGTGAGTGGCCTGCGTTCAAGGAGAAGTTCAATGTGGACAATAAGACCACTGAAATCGCTGCCGATCTTGAGAAGTACCCTGAGTTGCGGTCTGCTATGGAGAAGCTGGTGCCTGAGCAGGTTGATTATGCAACCTTCTGGTGTCGATACTATTTCCTTCGTCTTGTCATTGAGACTGAAGAGCAGAAGCGCAAGGAGCTTCTTAAAGGTATGTCTTCCTGCTGCTTATTAGATTGTGCTGCGCTACCCGCCCCATGAAGGAGATATCTGACTGTAGCATACAGGTGCCAATGTTGATGACGAGGAAGAGGTTGGCTGGGATGATGATTCGGATGATGATACTGATTCACCCGCTACCCCTCAAGCTAAAGTTGACAGCAACAAGGCCAAAGTCGCCCAGGGCTCTGCCACCGCTGCTCCCGACAACAAAGAATTGAAACCCAATGAGCCCCGCAAGTCTAACGACCAACAATCCCAGCCTGACAGTGAATCCAGCTATGATTTGGTCAGTGGTGCCACCAGCCGGACTCCTGCAAGCCCTAAGGAGAAAGCAAAGGACGACGACAGCGATGATGACTGGGAGTAAGAAACAAAATGAAATATGAGCTGGTCAATAGAAGAGGGCACCTTTAATAGTCACAACTTGACCAATTACTTGACCACTGGCTGGTCCAAATAACACTTGGTAACGAGGGTGCGAGGAGTTAGGGTTGTTGCTTCTTTCTGTCTACTTAGTTGGCGTTGCAGGATCCTCCTTATTTTGTTGCGTTCTTCAGCGATTTACGTGATATCAATATAAAGTGTTCTGTATTGTGTATGCTGATTATTCTGGATATATGCGCAATACACGTTGCTTTAAGATTCTGCATGTCGGACGCTAGTAGCTCTTTCAAATGGCCAGATGATATTACTAGTCCGTCGCTATGTGGTGGTCAGTATATTTACAGTAATATTTAGCCTGCAACCCCGCCTGCCATAGTAAAATCTATGGTTTTTCCTCACTTGATTCACGTCCAGCACGCTCCGAATCATCACCAGATGCAGGTGTAGACCGATTAGGAAGAGGAGAGTTTCTCCGGGAGCCTCTGTCCATATAAGCAGGCGTGCTGCGTAGTGTACTGTGCTGTCTCATGTCGGATTGTCTGGGAGTATTACGGCGAGATCGCGGAGAGGTTTCAGGTGTATTCTCCCGTGAGCGAAGCTGGAAGCTTCGGAGCCTGTCGCTAGGAGAATAGGGAAATTCGGTGCTTTCACGCGGGTATGATGATGGTGTGCCTTCAGGGACCCAGCCATACTGGTAATCTTCACCTCGTCGCTTCATAGGACTCTCATCGTAGGGATCCCATCCGACTCTGCGGCGTGCATCAGCGCGAAGACGCTGGCGATGCTGTTCGTCTCCACCGGCTCCAGTGGTTGAAGACTCCTCCAAGAAGAAGTTCAGGAGTTCATCGCTAATGGATAGATGCGACTGCTGCTGAAATTGTTGCAGGGACGTCAGACGGAGGAGTGTCTCTAAGAGGGACAGAGAAGTACGGATGTTATTGAAATGAGGGTTTGAGACTGTAGTTGTAGCCATATGTTGAGAGGAGGGCGACTGTCCTAAGGCTCCTTGTCGTAATGGTGTTGCATCTGAATCAAGGGAGAGTTTCGCCATCAGCTCTGGATCTATAGAATCACCCTTAGCTGAGGATCTGGGTTTCTCGTCATCGGATTCTGAGTCTAATTCGTCATCTTCATTGTAAACCTCGAACGCGATCCACTCGGGGTCAAGGTTCTTGGGGAGGCGCCATTCTTCTGGTATTGAGCTCTCGTGAAAGTTGGGATAAGTGGATGGCGCGCCTGCCCCATTTAATTGGGCGTCCAGCTGTGCCTGAACCTCATCTACTTCCTCCTCGTCTTGATCCGAGTCCTCGTTTGAATAACCTAATGCTTCCTCTCTTTCGACCATGCGCCGTGGAGGTATAGCATTGATATCTCTCTTCAGGAGTATTACCGGGTTGTTAACCTCGCCATCGGGGCTGATATTCAGAATTTTACCAGTGTCGGCATAGAAGATCTTTGAGATCTGGTGTATTGGAAGAATCTCGCGCACGCCAGCGGAAATGACACCTTCAAAAGCCTGAGGTTGAAGCTCATCTTCTTCGAAAGTATGGACTCTTCCATCATCTAAATCCTCTATAATTAGAAGCTGATAAGCATACTCATCTACCCTTGCTTCGGCAGCGATTTGGGTGCGCGGTAGCTGTGTTTGGGAATTGACAGCGAGGTCCATTGGCACACGTCGAAGCTTCACGCGTGCTTTATGCATGACCTCCTTCCACGTTGTTTCACGAATGCCTTCTTCGTCATGGGGCCGAAGATGACTTGCGAAAAGCATGTACATTGATAGAGTAAAAGTAGGGCCTATCTGGACCGCTTGTGACGGGGACATTGAGTACTGGGTGTCGCCAGCGGTAAGAAATGTACTAGCCTGCAGCAGCCGGGATGGTGATATTGTTGCTGGGAGGTTAGTTGATAATTTGGCGCCGGAGGTAGTGATGGCAAGATTCATAAGCGGCACAGCATCCTCGATTCGAACTAAAAGTCTCCTAATGTCCTTTATTATGGACTTGATCTCTTCATCATTTTGAGAGCGACTTCTTGAGGACCGTCCCCCCTTTCGAATTATTTCTTCGGACGCAGCAGCATTTGCCAATCGCTGGCCTAAGGCCTGAATATCCCACCGTAAAGATTTTGTGAGAGAAACTGCGGACTCAAGAGACGTGTTTCCTCGCGCAGCACTAGACAGAGTCAGAACTTCATCCCAATTCAGAGAATTCCGGGTTACCTACATTAGCTCGATCATGTCAATGGCAGGTGAAATGACCTGTCCTTCATATCAGCAAATGTATTTAGACTAGCTGAGTTCATACACCCAGAGTAATTTACCTGAATTTTGCTTTCTAGCCGCTGTTGTAGTACAAGAAGCTCTTCGCGTTCTTCGGCATTCTCAACATTCTACCATCGAAAGTCCGTTAGTCCAAATACTTCAACACCTAGCTAGCGACCAATATGATCGATGATCACTTACTTTAAGCAGTCGCGACGACTGGCGAATGGCATATTTAGCCGTTATAGCGATTCCGGAGCTAAGATTTTTAATGAATTAGTCTATAAGACATATGATGTCGTCTCAGGGCAGTACACTTACCGAATGGCATAGTTCATAGCCTGGTGAGTGAGCTACCAAAGATGGATCAGTTTCGGGCATCGCACACCAAGTCAGATGTCTAAAGCCATAAGAGCATACTCTAGTCAAGAACGCATCCATATTGCAGCCGCAATGCCATATGGCGTCGTCGCTTCAGTCAGTGTTTCCTTTATGTCTTTCTGAATCCGTTGGGCAGTCCAATCTCAGATTGATTGCCAATATCAAAATGTATTGTATGTGGCGGGCGGGCAACGTCCGAGGGGTTTGCGTTGCTTATCGATAACAAAGACCGTCTGTGGCTGATGCTCGTAAGAGAAGACCGTGCGCGGGCTGTAGGCCATCAAAATTTACACTCTTGACAGTTCCTTCAGAATAGGAAGCCACTGAGTAGTACACGATATCATAGCAAAATGGCCAGTGTATGGCCAATATACATCGTTGCCCAGTGTCTACAATCCCTCCAAACAAACAATGCAAAAGTCCCCTGATTGGGCGAAGGCGGGGAAAGAACCCGTTTTATGGCTGAGTCAGCGGCTGCAAAATTGACGCTTTCCAAAAGGCCCCTCACTATCTAAACTACTCTTCACTCGTCAACTTTTAGATCCACCCCCAGACTACCTTTTTTTTTCTCTTTAATAGAGACGTGTTTGGTTTGTTCGCCTTGTTTTTTATTCTTCAATTTCAAACATGGCCGGCCAAACTCCGGAGTCCTGGGAGGATGAACTCTCCCAGCAGACTGAGGGCGTCAACCTGAACGCACAGTCCCGGCCACAAGCCCAAGCTCCCTCTTTCCGTCCAGGAATTGCCTCTTTCCAGCCCGGAGCCGCTTCTTTCGTACCTGGTCAGTCTTTCCAAGGGTATGGTGGCTACCCGCAATATGGCCAGTATGGCCAGCAAGCCTATGGCGGTTACCCATATGGTCAGCAGCAGCAGGCCTATGGTCAGTATGGGGCGTATGCTCAGCAGCCTGGTGGCTACAACCAAACATACAACCAGCAATACGGCGGTTACCAGCAACCACAGCAACAGCAACAACTTTCTCAGCAGCCACCCCAAGCTACGCAGCAGCCCAAGGCTGCTGAATCCCAACCTGCCCAATCGGCGCCCAAACCTGCCGCCGCCGCCGCCGCTCCCAAGGCCAAGGTTCTGTCTATCGGTGGCGCTAGTGACTCTCCTGCAGCCCCTAAGACCAAGGTCCTTTCGATTGGTACCCCCTCCCCTGCTCCTGCATCGAAAACATCATCTTCAGGATCTGCGACTCCCGGAGACTCTAAGGGAGCCGATGCTGCTCAGGCTGCCGCCAAGGTGACAGCTACTAAGGCTATTGAGAAGACGGAGAAGAAGGCAGAACAGAAGGCTGCCGCCAGCGGCAAATCATCTCCTGCTCCTGCGTCCGGTCGCTCTAGCCCCGGAAGATCCAGCCCTTCCCGAGCCGAAGTTGCTAAGGCTGCCCGTGCCGCAGATGCCGTCGCCAAGGAGCAACAAGCCGACGTTGACGAAGCTACACTGAAGGAAATTTACGGTGAAAAGAAGGAACACGTGAACATCGTGTTCATCGGACACGTTGATGCCGGAAAGTCTACCCTGGGTGGATCCATCCTGTACGTCACTGGCATGGTGGACGAGCGAACTCTGGATAAGTATAAGAGAGATGCCAAGGAAGCCGGTCGTGAGACTTGGTACCTTTCTTGGGCTTTGGATTTGACGAACGAAGAGCGAGCTAAGGGAAAGACGGTCGAGGTTGGCCGTGCTCACTTTAAGCTTGATGTGGAGTCGCCCGACGGTCCTGTCGAGAGGCACTTCTCCATTTTGGATGCCCCTGGTCACAAAGCATATGTTCATCACATGATTGGTGGTGCTTCACAAGCTGATGTTGGTGTTCTGGTTATCTCCGCACGAAAGGGTGAATACGAAACTGGATTCGAAAAGGGTGGCCAGACTCGTGAACACGCTTTGCTGGCGAGAAACACAGGTGTCCAGAAGCTGGTCGTTGCTGTCAACAAGATGGATGACCCTACTGTGGAATGGAGCCATGCCCGTTTCAAGGAGTGCACGGTCAAGGTCTCGAAGTTCCTGGAGAACCTCGGCTACAAGAAGGATGATCTTACCTTCATGCCTATCTCCGCTCAAAAGACATACGGTATCAAGGACCGTGTTCCTAAGGACCTTGTGCCTTGGTACGATGGTCCCTCTCTTTTGGAGTACCTGTCCAACATGAAGCTACCTGAGCGTAAGATTAATGCGCCATTCATGATGCCCATTACCGCGAAGTATCGAGACATGGGTACCATGGTGGAAGGCCGCATTGAGTCTGGTGTGATCAAGAAGAACGGAAATTGCATCATTATGCCCAACCGCACTAAGGTTGAAATCACAGCTCTCTATGGAGAGACTGAGGATGAGATCCCGACAGGCACTTGCGGTGACCAAGTCCGCATGCGTCTCCGTGGTGTGGAAGAAGAAGATCTCCTTCCCGGATTTGTGCTTTGCTCTCCGAAGCGTTTGGTGAACTGTGTGTCAAGCTTTGAGGCCAAGATTAGGATTCTCGATCTGAAGAGCATTCTCACTGCCGGTTACAACTGTGTTATGCACGTTCACTCGGCTGTCGAAGAGGTTACATTTACCTCCCTGCTGCACAAGTGCGAGCCTGGTACAGGCCGTAGGAGCAAGCGCCCGCCTCCCTTCGCCAGCAAGGGCCAGACGATCATCGCCCGTCTCGATGTCACCAGCACTGCTGGTGCCGTCTGTGTCGAGCGTTTCGAGGACTACAACCAAATGGGACGGTTTACTCTGCGTGATCAGGTAAGCAGCTATGTTGTATACTTGTTGAATAAAAGGCTAACTGGACGAAACTTTAACAGGGACAAACCATTGCCATTGGTATGATCACCAAGCTCATCAAGGGTGACGAAGACAACTAAGCACGCATAATCACGAACAAATCCCGGCGGCTTCTATCTTGGTCTTTCTTGACCTTTGGTGGGTTACGGCTGCGATCGAACCGACTACGGTCAGGGAGGTATGGGTGGGCAGAAGGTGGATGAGTAGATCCATAAACTTCTCCCTCGGTTGATGATGATGAACCTTTTCTTTTCTTATAGATTGTTTCTCTTGCTGTTTCTTCTCTGGAATGGTAAAAAAATCTGCTTGGACGTTTCACGCCGGTTTACATTATATGTAGATATCCACGTATATCCATCAACGCATCAAATCATGAAGCAATACCCATACATGCAGAGAGTATCTATATCTAAACAGCTCATAGCAACCAAAACACATAATGAAGAAATGAGAATCAAAGGAAAATTCACCGCTTCTTCTTTCCAACAACCTTAGTAAACCCATCCTCATCCACCTCAGGTTCAACTTTCTCCTTTGGAGCCCTAACCAAAGCAGGAGCCTCCCCCATATCAACATCCTCCTCATCCTCCTCATCATCCTCCTCAGAATCCTGGTCCTCATCCTCACCCCTCTTGAAAGCCGCCGCAATATTACTAGCCTTCTGCTGACTCTTCGTCTGGTAGGCCTCCCACGCCTGCTTAATAGGACCGAAATCGCCCTTCGCCACCAACCCTCTCGCCTCCATAATCTCCTCCGCAACAGGCACCGCACTCTCATCGTCAATCACCACATCAAACTCATCATTCATAACCTGGATCAACACGTCCTCGAGATCCTCTGCATCCGTCTCCGGCCGATCATTCAGCATATCGGAGATCGCACCGCAAAGCCAATCGCGCTTGTCGGATGATGTTGGGCCGCCCCAGTTGGATTGCACGGCTAGCGTGAGGGCGGGCCAGTTGTGGATTGCGAGCGTAATACCGAGGTCGAGGTAGGCGGAGGGGGAGTTCGACTGGTTTTCTTGGGGCAGTTGTTGGGACATTTTGGCGCTTTGTGAGGATTTCTTGATTTTAGGTTCTTCTTTGTAGGTGTGTTGGAAAGAATTTGGTTTCTTGGTGGGGGTGTTTTTTGGTTGCGGTTTTGTATGGTGGGGTTTGGTATGCTTCTTGGTGTTTGTTGGTGCGCGGGGTGACGGTTTTCGTTATTTAATTGCTTAAGTATGTTCGCCGCGGTGGTGTCGGTGGAATGAGAGCTTGTGGAATTGTGTATGGCTCTGTGAGATGAGCAATGGAGGTCTGAGGTGTTGATATAAATTTTTGATTTTTTCGATATCACTGGGAGATTAGATACGATAAGCGGAGTATGGTCATGTGATTGTGTATATAGTGCCGTGAGTTAATGGTGAATGTTCAGAGGCGTTTGGGATGGAATTAAGGGACTATGAATAGATAAGGAAAATAGAGGTGTTGTGATCTACTGGAAAGACAAGCATGTAATGTTGAGGTTGTCAGACGGTTGTTGTTAATTGTGATCAGCGAGTAGCTCATTCTACTTTATGGAGCGCTGTATATAAAAATATATCCAAGTAGATATGCCACAAAGCTCTAGTTCATAAACCAGTTATGCTTTCCCGCTCCATATGCAATGAACAATAACATGAAATGAGGCGCTTTGATACAGAAATGATTGATAATACATAGAGAGGGGAAAAAAAGAAAAAACAAAAACAAAGTACGCCTGGTATATCCAATTTTGCGAGCGCCAAACAAGAGCTGCTTATGTACAGAAGGAAAAAGGAACCCAGTCAACCTCCAACGCCACCCATTGCCGTTGAACATGGTATCAATTCAGTTACAAATCACAAAACATGACTTAGCATTTCCTGTGCTCTTACTGCCGTGGCAATATGCCAAGGTAATGTGTTTCGTTGTACAGTGCGGGTGCCTCTGGCTCGAGCAAGGGTGCCTAGATCACGGTACATTCCTAGGGTTTCTCGAAGAATTGTTTCGCAGGAAGAAGGTCGTTGCGTATATATAAGGTTGAGGGTCATAGCATATACACCATCCCCGTCGGTGTCTCCCTTGCGGCGAAGTAGGTAACCGCTAGCCAACGCTGGTCGGTACTCGGTTAGGTGAGGAGAATTGTTGAGGCGATGGGAGAGTATGACGCTCCAGGACTCATCGCAAATATCTGTAAGCACGGATTCGGATTCGGCTTCTAGAGTAGGTTCTGTGGGTGTTGGGGCATTTGCAGGCCCATTTCCGCCACTGGGAGGCGTAGGCGCTGTGCCCGATTGATCCGGCGAAAAGACGTTGCCGCTAGCATTCGGAGTAGCAACAGGTGTCGAGGAGGTCTGTGAATTAAAGATATTCATGGACATGGGTAAGAAGGGAGATTCAAGGTGCAGATCGGGCGCAGTATTTACGCTCAATACCGTCAGCTCTAAAGGTATGGAATTTGTCTTGTTATACTGTTCGACAAAACCCGTCCATGCTGCGAGTGTAAGTTAGCAAAGTGCGTGAGAGACATTTTGGGGACACCCTTACCGTTAACCTCGTCCTGATCGACAGGCTCAGTGCTCACGACAAAAACCTTCCATCGCGCTTGGATTCTGTCTAGGATGTCCTTCGTAGCCACCCAAATCTCGCTTCGCACGTCCGAAATGGTCCTAACCGCACTGACATTTCGGTAGCGTAGATTATAAGAGATTGTACGTTGGAGTGCCCCAGAGTTGTCAGACCAGGCAACGCATATCCAGCGCTGATCTTGACTTTTTGAGTACGCAATATGAAGACATTTGCCTTCTTGCAAGGGTGAGGTTTTCTCGGAAGCGAGTCTAAAGCTGATCGTCCTCGGGAGAGGCTCGGCAAGAAGGACTGGAGGTGCGCAGTTCACGAGACTCGACTGTAGTGCTTTGGGAGGACATCGACTGTAGATTTCCAGTGCCAAGTTCAGGTACTGGGTTTGTGGAGGGACGACCACAGAGCCTGTTGACATTATAAAGCTAATTGGAATGATCTGTAGCACCACTTCATTCAACTGTCGGGCCTGTTGTTTGCCGGTGTCGGCAATATACTTTTGAAACAGACACCAGAAGGCGGAACAAATATCGACGAGAGCCGATGCATGTGCAAACGGATTGACTATGTAGATTACTAGACTGTCATTGCTTGGAGAGCTTTTCAGAAGTGCCGTCCCTGTGAATGTTAGTACATGATTAATATACTGCTCACCGGATCACCAACATACCAAGCTCTTCGCAGATTACTTTTAAGGACTGCATTGCAGGAAGGAAGAGCGCGGTCTCCATAGAACCAACATCCCATGAGCAAAGCCCCCGTTCAAAGGCACTAGACCTACATCCCCGAACATGTTTTCCAAGGTTGCAACTCGCGTACAGTAAGCTTAGGCGTTCCAGGAAGACATCAGCAGCATCACCAGCAATTTGAGGATGAATACAATAAGCTGAGATGTCCTTTGGGCCGTCGGCTGGTTCCAAGCCGAATGTTTCCCAAAATGAGATCGCAGGAGGCAGAGCTTCCAAGTATTCCTTGCCGCGACGCACGCGTAAATGTGGCGGAGAGAGTTTTGTTATAGAGCCTTTCCCCACCTCTTTACGTTGAGAAGGTTGCCGGGCTACGGCGCCGTTGGGTGCAGGAGACGCTTGCTCATTGTCCTGGAGGGATATCCAACTATTCAAATCAAGCCTTTCAATGCTGCCCAGTATACCTTCCTCCTCAAGGAAACTTTGAACTGAATATGACTTGGTATCAAGTTCAGAGAGACAGAAGCCACCATCCAGCTTATGATCCAAAGAGGACTGCGTAATTTGGTCAACAAATAACTGGGCGATTTGAATCTGCATGTCTTTGCGGGTGAGAACAGGAAACAACTGATTTTCTGTTAATGAAAAATAACCGGTCATTGACCAGTCAGAGAATGTGGATAACAAATTTCCCAGAAATATTGAATGCTCGGGTCTATGGACAGGGATTTCGTGGTCTGCCTCCCCAAGAGATTTCACCTGAGATAAGGCCGGCGAGCTGACGGAGTTAGAACGGGCACGTTTTCGCTTGCGACTTAGCAACGGTGGTGCATCACTTTCCGAAACACTACCATCACTTTCCTCGCTTGTATAGCTGCTGGTATCCGATAGCGTTTGTAGATGTTGACCTTCGCTTGATGGACTGGAGTGACCATCCAGGCCCATCAAACCGGCGCCAGCGGTGGGGTTCTTAATGCGGCGAGGCATACCGACAGTTGGAATGTCGGAATTTGTATACGCTTTGGAAGCAGATGGGCCCGCAGTTGTAAACCGGAACTTGCCGTCAGCGCCATACTTCTGATTCCAGGCAGACACATCCGGTTTGAACGCAACTGGGTTGTAATAGCTTTGCTTGCGACTGCCCTTGGTTGGGACATGATTGTCCCCGTTTGGTTCTGGTAACAGTATTCTCTTGATTTCCACCGGGCTTAGAGGGGGACTTATTGTTTGGTTTTGTTCAGTATGAGGCGAGGCCGCCACTGGGGTTCCCTCTGCATCCATATGTTCGGGCTGAACCATTGGCGTTACCTCTTCTGGACTTGCTTGGGTTACTTCAAGATTTTCTGTTGGTGTTTTCTGAGCTGGGAAGTCTTCTAACAGAGCATCTTCAGAGATAGTAGGATGTGCCGCGGTAACCCCTAAGTTGACCATGTCAGGAACCTCTTGAGCGTCATCAGCGGGAGCATCTGTATCCATGGCAGCGAAGCTAGGGTCATCGAAGAAATTGAAATCTGCATCGGTGATCCCTTTAGTGCCAAAGTCTCTTTCATCCATGTCCCCAAAGAGATCATCGTCCTCATTGGTGTCGTATAATCCAGATCCTACCGCAAGCCCTCCTAACGGGCCAAATCCCGCCGATGGGTCAGCCTCTGAGCGATCTTTAGTAGTTAGTTGCTCGTAGTACTTTGGCTTGATTTGGTTTTGTAAGAGGGATGGCACAAGTTCTGGTTCTTCAGCAAATGTGTCTGATGGGCCTGCGAGATTCAATCCCATTGCAGCAGCTCCATCTGGCGGTGTCGGATATACGAGACTGACAGTCTGGAGATCAGGATACTCAGAAGCTCGAGATAAGCTTTCTATTCCCTCGAGAATGTCTGTCGTAGCAGCGGATGGCTCTGGGATCCTTGATTGTTGTTCTGGATGACTAGACGGTGGTTTAGGACTTGTCTCATCCTGCTTTGGCTTTTCCACTACACGCCAATTCTCTGCAAAATCCAAAGGATCGCCGACCACCGGGCAAGCATTTTCCATCCATCGTGAGGATCCAGGAGATGCTGACTTTGTTCTCCGAAAGCAATACACAGCAGGCCAGAGGACACGCTTCAGGGGAAGCGTAGATGAGTTATCCTCATTAAGCCGTAAAGTCTCCCCAGCTAACCTAGAGTAAAACGGCTCCCAAACTTCAACTTCTACCCAGGCTGTTTCATCAACAGAATCAATCGGTAGCCCAAAGTTTCTTAGCCACTCTAGCACATTGACTTTCCATTGCTTGCGTCCTGCTGCCCCCAAGCTCTCAATTCCAATGCTTCCCATAGTTGGCAACGGGGATGAGGCGTTTGGTAGACCTGGGTTGGTTGATACTAGCCTCGCAACAGAGCCGCTGGGTGATAACCAGATGTCAGCTCCGGGAGCTACATCATATATGTCAGATGGACTTTCCCCAAGTCTGCATAGTGGGGCAATGCCTGGCTGTGACGTTGTCTGTAAAGACACTGTTAGTTTCCCAGCCGAGGTCAATTGAACTTGAAGTGTAGTCAGAGCAGAGATTGAAGAAGGGTCATCGTTGACTATTCTGGACGCCTCGTAATAATCCCTCTCGATGACAGTGAAGAGCGTCCGTGACCCTAGAGGGGTCGCACTACTGCGACGGATTAGTTGGAGGTTTAGTGAGCCGGTTATAGCTGAAATAAAAGCTGCGTAGATTGCAACAGAGCTACTATAGCTATCAACACGTCTCGTGGGTGTGGGAGTAACCTGTGGTCGTTGCGACCCGGTTGAACCACCTGCGGTCTGAGGATCTGTCGAGAGATTCTTAACTAGTTCGCGAGGCGTAACACTTCCAGACGCAGAGACTATTGTTACACGGTCAATGTACAATGTATCGAAGAAATTCAACGGATGTTTGGGCGCAAACCTTTTAACGTCGATGAGCCAACAACCAGTCTGCTTTGCTCGCCTTTACTTTCATCTGACCGCAAGGAGCTCACAGACTCAAATTCCGGAGTCGCAGAAAATACCCATAAGCCAAGACGCCTAGGGTAGCTCGAGACTAAGCAGCCCGAGCTCCTCAATCGAAGCTCTAAGTCCTTGAGGCGACTTAAATGCTTAAGAATGGTGAAACCGTTGGCTGGAGCCTCGCCTGGAAGATTTGTAATGTTGGGATCTTCCGTATATATTCTCCAGTAGACATTGGAGAATCCATCCTAGATTCTCAGATTAGTAGCTTACTTCAAACCCGAGTACAAATTAACCTACAAGGACGCGTATATTTGTAACGGACCCTCCGGGAAAGTCCATGGTTTAAAGATTGCTCCGAGGCAGATCCTGGCAATACTCATAGATAGCCAAAAAAAGCCTTTAAAAGAATAATAGGGATCATCTCCAGGTGTGTCTGGAAAGCAAACTATATCCCAAGAAGCAACCCATAGCCCATGGAGTTAACTTATCGCAGAAGTTAGCAAATAGATCGGCTCCCTGACGCCATCGCTCCGCAGGGAAGGGTCGCAAATGCTATACCAATAATGAAGTCGGCGTATATATCAAAATAAAGCGATCATGATAGAGGCGCGAACATAAGAGATTCCGATAACGGATGGCGTTCAAGATATAGAATGTCGCAAGTCGCTGTTTCAATCCAGGCCCCCGACGCCATGAAACCCGACGGAGGTTCGTCCAGACCGCGTGAACCAATCATCAATGATCGACACCCGCAGGGTCACGTGGGTCCTGCTATCGCTATCATCAAAGGCTTTTTTTTTTTTTTTTTAATGAGGCGGAGCTTTACCAGTCGCAGCAACGCCAGGCTCTTTCTCGCTCAAAGAGCAACACTGCGCAAAGATGAAGCTTTCGAATCAGTCAGAGGTGCCGGTTTATACAATCTCTGGATCGAACACTGCACGACCACTTCCTGAATGGCTTGCGAGACGGAGAAAGCGCAGTCTTAAAAATGACCCGGAGTATGCGAATCGGGTTGAACTCCTACAAGATTTCGAGTTCGAAGAAGCTAGTCAATGTGTAAGAGTCAGCGAAGATGGTGAATGGGTTATGAGCACAGGTTAGATCTTACGCTTTGAGTGACGCGACTTTGCTTTTTTGCATGCGACTGACGATAAGAACATAGGAACCTATAAGCCTCAGATTCATACACACCATCTTCCACAGTTGTCCCTCTCATGGGCTCGTCACACAGATGCGCTAAACACCACATTCCTCCTTCTCTCCTCCGACTACTCCAAATCTCTCCATTTACAGTCCGATCGCTCGCTCCAGTTTCACACACCTGCAGGGTGCCATTACACAACAAGACTACCCAGATATGGCCGTGATCTAGTTTACGATAGACAATCTACCGAAGCATTAATTCCTTCTGTCGGCGTCAACCAAGATGGCATGGGTGAGGTCTTTCGACTAAACTTGGAGATGGGCCGGTACATGCGGAGTTTCGAGATTGATGTAGGTGGTGACGACTTCACATCCACTGGTGGAGGAACGTTGCAAGGTGGTATCAATACAGGTGCCGTCAACACGGGAGCTATTGCGGAGGAAAGCCACAATCTGCTTGCCTTCGGTACTACGTTAGGTACAGTGGAACTCTGGGATCCAAGAGCGAAAGGCAGGGCAGGAATCTTGCTACCGCCCACACAATCAGTCCCTGATGAAGGCCGCCATGAGATCACAGCATTAGAGTTCCACCGTTCAGGTTTGACCCTCGGTACGGGTTCCTCCAACGGGCTTATTCACCTATACGATCTTCGTTCGCCAGTTCCCCTACTCAAAAAAGACCAAGGATATGGATTCCCCGTTCACACACTTAAGTTCTTGCAGCCTTCCTCCTTGACACGTGAACAGACAATGGAACCTAAGATCCTCTCTTCCGACAAAAAGATCATTAAGATTTGGGACCCTCGGGACGGCAGTCCTTGGACGTCTGTGGAGCCTGCTGTCGACATCAACTCGGTTGCTTGGTGCAAGGATAGCGGAATGATTTTGACTGCCAACGAAGGACGCCAGCAGCATGCATTTTTCATTCCTCAGCTTGGACCCGCGCCGAAGTGGTGTTCCTTCTTGGACAACCTTGTTGAGGAAATGGCTGAAGATCCTAATGATCCTAACGCATTCAGCAGCGGCCAGGCAAGCTCTGTGTACGACAACTACAAGTTCTTGACCGTTCCTCAACTGCGCACATTGAACTTGGAGCACTTGATTGGCCGGACCAATCTCCTGCGCCCTTACATGCACGGTTACTTTGTGGCACAACGCTTGTATGAAGAGGCTCGTTTGATCACGAACCCCTACGTCTGGGAAGAGGAGCGTGCAAAGAGAGTCAAGGAGAAGATTGACAAGGAGCGCGAGAGCAGAATCCGGGGCAAGAAGAAGGCCGCCGTCAAGGTCAACAAGAAGCTGGCCGACAGACTTATGGCGATTGAGGAGAAGAACGAACGTAAGAGGGCGCAGCGTGTATTGCAGAAGGGCGGTGATGAGGATATGGTCGACGCACCTGCATCTGCGCCTGCAACAGAGAAACCCGGCCAAGGTCTACTGGGCGATAGTCGTTTCGCCAAGTTGTTCGAGGATGAAGACTTCGCCGTCGACGAGGCATCGCATGAGTTCAAGCTTCTCAACCCCAGCACTGCCACAGACGTCCCAGAGAGAAAGGAGAGAGGTCTTACGGCCGTTGAACAAGAGGAAATCGACGAAGTGCCCGGCTCCAGCTCCGATGATTCAGACTCTGAGAGCGAAGCAGAACGTCCTGTCAAGGAGAAGTCTTCCGGAAAGATCTCGACTTCCTCCTATAAACGTACCAACCGGTCCCAGCAGCCCCGAATGCAAGTTTCTTCTTCATCTGCCGTCAACTCTACTCGCGACCGTTCGTTTGGCTCTAGGGCTCAGAATATGCGGACTAAGGAGAGGCCATCGCGTCGTGGCGGCGTCGTTGGCGAGAGAGAGGTGACATTCACACCCCATGTTAAGTCGAAGCAGAACAAGGCCCCGGCACCATCTCGGGATACAAGCTTCAAGGCAAAGGAGAGACGCAGTGCCTCCGGCAACACTTTCCGAAGGATGTGATTCTGCATGGTTTGACGAAGTTTATGTCAGGTAGTTACGGTGCACTTCCATTTGTGAGGAGCTTTTTTTTTTTTTTTTTTTTTTTTACAAAGGTACGCTGTACTACTGGCTTCAGTTATGCAAACGCTATATCTTCAAATTGGGGCCTATTGGAACAGACTCTGATGAGAGGGTTTCCATGATACCTCTAGCATAAACTCGGGTTGGTATTCAATATAGTTGCTGGTGCACCAGATACAGGGCGTCCTAGCCATTATGGCTAGCATGACATATTCGAACATGGCCTCTAGGCTGAGGGTACTCCATGAAGCGGACCCATAGAACTCCAGCTCCCACATGGATGCCCTGAGCTTATCATGGTTTGAGCTCCAAGGCCCTTTTATCTCAAGATGTCTTCGCTGCTCCATCTTCTCAATATCCACGCCAACGGCAATCCTGCCCAACTTACGGAATGAACAGTCCATTGGAATGCCATACCATTCAATGTATATATAATCAATTCAGAATACTAGATGAATTGAAATTGAAAATCATGCTGAACTTTGAATTATGTTGCACCTAAGAGAAATATAGTACCGGTAAACCAGAATAAAAACTTCAACTCCGAGCCGTCCTCCAATCATAAACAATAGAACAAACAGTAGACATCAGCTCCTGGAAGTACTTACAAGAATCCCAAATGGAAGAAGCCGGGTGAGAGATAAAGGAAAAAGATGCTCACGACCTTATTGACGCTCCAGCGTCAATAACAGATCAAGAATTCTAAATAGGACACTATGTCACGCCAAAAAGGAAAATGCCCAATAAACAAGAAATTTTGAACACGTAAAAAAGCTCCGTGCCATTCTATCCTCCATTTCCTGATTGCATCATGGTGCTCGCAAAGCAGTCTATAAGAATAGCCTTCCTAGCCAAAATGGCACGATAGTAGGTAAGAACCTTCGAATATCTTCGAATAATCGCTGGACCAGGGAATCAATCCCGGAAAGGCAAAGGAAACACATCAGGCCGCCCAAATTATACTGATATAATTGAGAGGCAAAAAAACAAAAAAAAAAAAAAAAAGAAAAAGAAAAAGAAAAGAGAAGACTAACTGGGCCGATAGAGGCAGAGTGTGAAGTGAAATATGAAGAGATCAGGTTTCGTGGTATGTTGCAGAAACTTTAGGACCAAGGGTGGAAGCCACCGCCACGTCTACTACTTCCTCCTCGTCTTGATCCGGCGACGTTCCCAGCCGGATCATGAGCATGGTTGCCATGTCTGCCTTCTTCGAAGCTCCGTCGTGAGGCACCAAAGTCGCTCATAGCGAATAGCAGAGGTTCGTCTTCTTCTAACTGGACCGACTGCGGCGGCCCACCACGGCCAGCACTGGGCCGTCGTCCTACACCCCGACGATCTTCCACTGCCGAGGTAGCACTATTACTACCACTTCCGTTGCCATCTCGCTCACTCTCGCGTTCAGTAAGACCAGGGGGGATGGCAGCACCACGTGCAAGGCTGCTAGAGCCGGAGCTTAGGGAATGATGACCACCGGAAGACCCCCGGCCGCGAGAGTGGCTGAAGCGTGGCTGGTAGACGTGGTGGTGGGATGAAGACGAAGAGGCAACAGTAGGGCCAGGCGTCACGCCCTTATGAGAACCTTGTTCACGGGCTATTGAGCTAGACGGTACGACTGCATCTTCGTTTGATGGCAATGGATGCGGCTCTCGCTGCGCTCGGTGCGTGGTTGTTTCAGAGCTTTCATACTCATGCTGTCGATGAAGTGCACCAAGGCTCAGGTTGGATCTCTCCTCGGCACCAAGGCTTACGCTGCGATTGAAAGGGAAAATCTCGTCGTCATCTACAGCGACTGTACGTGGGCGGTGGGCAGCAGAACTAGATCGACGATAAACAGGGGGAAAGAGGCGAGGTGATGTCGGGATGTCTATGGCGTTCACTGCGGACGGTCCGTGCTCCATAGTTGTCCCATCACTGGTGTTCTCATCGAGAGGGGAGCCGTGTCCCTGGGAAAGGTCTGTGCCATTGCCCTCAGGATGAGTATAGTCGACGATACTGTTAGAACTAAGGCGAGATGGTATGGCAGGAGTGTGTGGGGTGTGGGGAGATATCGGTTTTCCTGGCGACGAGGCAGTTGAGATGGACGTTCCCGCAACCATTGGTGGAACTCCAGAGAGCTGTTTGCTAGAGGAATTTGATGAGCGCTGTAAAAGCAGAGATGACGACATCGAATCGGAAAGTGCAGCATTGGAATCCCGCATACGTTGGAAGCGTGTTAAAGCGGCTGAAGTGACCGTGGTCCTGCGCGCAGTAGCATCAAGGGCAGCTGAGCCTGACGTATTGAGAAGATCTTTCCGTAGGTCTAGCATTTTCAGGAATTCTGAAATATTCTCATCATCGGCGTGAATGGAATCGGCACTTGTTCCAGTAGGTTCAGCAAGCAAGCCGGAGCCAGGCTGAGCGGACGAAGTGGCACTTGCTTTACCACTGGAAGTATCGTCTTCCAATTTATTGATTCCTCCAGAAGAAGGCCTGCCCCGACGGTGACTGAAAGCACTGCTATACCGCGAGATGGAAGCCGGTCGTGGGGACGCGGAACTAGGAGACGCAGTGCTATTGTCCTGCACTGCCGGGAAAGACTTGCGAGCAGAAGCCACCATAGACGGATGGGGACGAGCCCCGGTTACTGAGCGAGGAGACGAGAGCGGAGGGTCGACAAGGGATGGTGATGCCGATAATGGTGGAGCTTTGAATGGCTGGAAAGATATAGATGGGCGTCTGGCAATATTTGGGTTGCCTTCACTAGCAAGGACAGCAGCGCGTCCCACAGGACTAGCTTTCGTAACTGCCAAGGCCTTCCGAGAGGAGCCAGGCGAGGACGGAGAGGAAGTGCCTGACTCTCCTTTAGCCCGGAGAGCTGATATGGGACTCGCGCTAGTCGTAGGTCCGACCTGATGGAAGGTCGAAAGGCTACCGTACGCCCGGCCAGGATCTGGATCTTCGACTGTTCTCCTCTCTTGCGGCAGTGACCCTATTTCAGGGGGAGGCACTTTACTATCCACCACTCGCGTAGGTAACGACGGACGGAAGATTTCATCATCGGCTCCCATGAATCGAGAACTTAACAGAGCTTCGGAGTCATCCACGCGGAAATCGCAGCTGGTTCGATATGTCACTTGGGCTGAGAATGGACCCGCCGGCGAATCGGTGACCCCAAAGCTGTAGGTTTCGACCACTTTGCTACTACTCTCATATAAAGGCATGGTCAAGTGATCTGGCTTCGAACTCGCCTGATTAGAGGAGCCGATAATGATCCTGTACTTGATCCGTAGAGCTGGGTTTGCTCGAAGCCTTCCATTGCGCTTTGCGAACTTCCAAGCGGGCAAGAACTTAGAATAGGTGAATAATGATCGGAAAAGGACAATGCTCTTCTTGTATACAGTAGGCAGAATAGATCCAAGATCAGCCGGTAACGCGTTCGACGTATCCCCCAACTCAACTCTCCACCGCTCCAAGATGACATCATCGGAGCTGGCCGAGGGTGGTCTGACCGGATGGGCCTGTTGAGATGCAGCAAGGGCTTCTAACACATCCCAACGTTTCCCATTCTCATCCAAAGCCACAAGGGTTTGATTATTTGTGAGCCCCTTTGTATCAAGGTATGTTTCGATAATTAAAGGCGGCGGGCGATTCTCGGTGGCATCACAGGTTCTCCAAGTGCGCAGCTGTTCTCGCAGCACATCTGTATCTTCGATCTCAACGTTAAACTAAGCCGTAAAGGTATTAGGTCAGCCCAAGTATTGAAGACATCGCGGATGGAGGACAGGTCTTATATTCGGGGGAAGGTATGTTCTCAAGCGACAGGGATAAGACGTACCCAACGATTCACTCTGGGAGTGTCAGAGCCCTTGTTGAATGAAGGTGGGAGCTCAATGCGTGAATGCAATATAATCAATGCAGCTTTCGTGTGGTAATTCTGCAACATAACAGGAACAAATCAGCGGAGGTCCATCACCAAGCCCTGAGGTCACAAGCCGGACATTGATCGCATACCGATATTATTTGGTTCAGCTTCGCTATCGCCTCCTTTGTAGGTTGAATAGTTTGCCCTGACGAGTCAGGTTCCGCTTCTATCCCCAAGCCTCTGCTGTTATGTACCCTGACATCGGCTGCAGGGGAATTAGGACGATAATCCAGCTCTCTCGAACGGGATGAGTTCGGCCTGGCGGAAGAAGTTGGCGCTGTTGGCGCCGGCGACCGAGGATGTTGATGCATGATCCTTCTGCGACACACAACGCAAATGAGAACAAGATACTCAAAGTAGTCCTTCTTAAGCCAGGATCGAATTAAGAGCTATGACAGGGCGATTGTCTCGATCAAGAAGGTAATGGGGGGGCGACTGATGCGATGCGGACGGCCATACTAACGAACTACACAGCCAGAGGTTCAGGATTAGGAAAGGAGCTAGGGGAATAAATTCCGGACAGATTAGGCACGTTCCAAATCAAATTAGTGGAGGCTGATTTCATCGCACTTTGTGCTCAGGCAACAGGATGCTGGCACACTTGAAGAGCATGCGGTCTAGACAACCTTGTGAGCTTCTCCGCACTGACGACAAGGCAGATCCGGGGGGGTTGCACGGCGTCCTCACGTCGTGGGAGAATAAGGTAATTTAAGGATTCATAGTCACCAATACACTGGATTTAAAAAGTTCAGGAAGGAAGATGGGGAGGAGGAAAAGAGGGAAGAGGGAATTACAACAATGTTTCTTTGGGGAGGGGGGGGTGGATAAGGAAGGAGAGATGAAACGGAGAGACAAGGTAAAAGGCGTGTAATGCGCTAAGAGTTATGAGAGGCACAGCAACAAACGGCGGCGGCGGCACGGGAGCAAAGAGGTCTGTGACGCACACCCGGTGACTCGGGATGGTTCATGAGCAATCCACCCCCAGGTCAAGTGCAAAGTAAAGCCCACGGTCAGCCTGACAAGTGCCACGGCATTCTTTACCAAAGACAATCCAATAGTTACTCAGTCGTCGAGTGACTAGTTGCCAGTAAGGGATATTTTTAATTCCCAGTTTCTCTCGAAACTGCTTTTAGAACAACTTACGGGGATCGTACAGTAGAAAGAAGTGGTTAGGGACCAATCGTGGCCAATCACGATGCAAGTTGCTGGCAAGATAAACCAGGGCGTTAGAAGGCGGTCAAGCGATAGTCGCGGTTGCAGCAACAGTGTTGTTAGGCGGTATGTATGATTGCCCCAACTGGACCGTATGAAAACAGTCAGGTGGATACCGATTTTTATGAAATCATTCCTTCTACGTATCTTCTATCGACCTAACATGTCCTGACAACTGGCAGTAGGATATAATTTATCAATGTGACTCAGTATACGTAGAATTGCTACCTAACTAAACAGACGTACGTGTCTTGCTTTTTAATTAAGCCTTGATCGATCATCTTATCTAGTGAGTAATAAATACGAAGAGCAAGGTCGTGAGTGTAGGTGTCAATTCAACCTTGAATTACGACACATGACTCAATATTGAGGCG